AAATGGGTTTTTTGTAAATTAAATTTGAAAATTCGAAATAGGTTTTTTTAAAATTAAATTTGAAAATTCGAAATGGTATATTTTTAAATTTAGTTTGAAAATTCGAATTGGGTTTTTATAAAAATTAAGTTTGATTATATATAATTATGTTTTTTTTGTGTTAATTCTGTGGAAATATAGAAATTAAATGTATTATCCGTTAAATGTATTTATTGTAATATATAATTGATGCAGGAATATGGTGGAGACGGAAATGATTACAGTGGGATATTTGGACATGATGGTCCATTCGAAGAAGCTCAACAGGCGATTGATTGGGCAAAACAGGTTGCAATTGCAGCTGGATTTTGCTTGGTAGTAGCAACTCATAAATCTCAACGGGATGGTAGAATGGATCGCATTTTGAGATGTGACCGTTATCGCAAAAGAGAAGAAAGAGATTTTCGTACAGCCACTCGGTTTGACACAAAGCGGAAAGGTTGTGGGTGTGAGTTCAGAGTAAAGGTTCGACAACTACGGAGTCGTGACGGTTGGGAAGTGATAGGTTACTCTAAATGGGGGTATCACAACCATGAGATGATAGTATATGAAGAGGGTCATCGACAACTGAGCGGCTTAAGTCCTGCTGCGAAACTAGTTGTGAAAGAAATGAGTGATGCTCAAGTGAAGCCTGCTAAAATATTAGCATCTGTGTTAGAGAAATTTCCAGAAGACCATCCAAACCGAAGACACATCTACAACGTCAGACAGCAACTCAGGTTTGAACGGTCAGAGGGAAGGAACCCTATACAGTAGCTGCTACACCAGGCACAATCACGTGGTTACCTGTTCTGGTTTGATTCTGATGAAGATACAGCGGAGGTGACTCATCTTTTCCTTGTGCATCCTGATTGTGCTGATATGATCAAGTCTTGGCCATTTGTGATTTTGATCGACTCAACGTACAAGACAAACAAGTACAAGTTCCCTCTGGTTGAGATGGTTGGGATGGCTCCAACGAACCAGAACTTTCTGATTGGTCATGCAATCATCAGGGATGAGACGGCTCCAAATTATTATTGGGTGTTGGAGAAGCTGAGAAACTACATCGGGCCTAATGTTCATCCAGCAGCCATCGTCAGCGACTGTGAGGGAGGTCTCTTTGCCCCCATAGCAGAGCTGTTTCCCGAATCGAACCACTTATTGTGCACATGGCACATCAACAACTGCGTGAAAGTGAAAGCCTACAACCTTTTCAAGAAGAATTTGGAAATGGCAGAGAGATTGGTGAATGGTAAGTGGCGGAAGATCCTACAGGCTACCACAGAGGAAGCGTATGAGCGAGCATTGGCTAACTTCAGGGATTCGTACCAGTGGTGTCCGGCACTGGTGGACTATGTGATGCATCAATGGGTCCCTCACAAGGAAAAGTTTGTCAAATATTGGACAAACCAGGTACTTCATTTTGGGAACACTACAACATGTAGAGTTGAGAGCGCTCATAGAGCTACCAAGGACTGGATTGATTCATCGACCGCTGCTTTGGATACACTGTTCGCTAGACTGAACAAGTCAATTGAAACTCAGAAGAACGACATTAGGAACTCTCTAGAGGACTCCAGACGACGACATGGTACGATGTATAGCCATTTTATATTTAAGATTCTCCAAGGTCGTGTGTCGCACTACTGCTTGGGGTTGATTCTCACTGAGCTGAACAGGGTGAGGGACTTGGCTGACGAAGTGTATACTCGGTGTGGGTGTACTATTTCAGTAACTCATGGATTACCTTGCGCATGCACCATTCACCGCGTCATTACAGAAGAAAGGGCGTCGTTACATGTTGATCAGGTCCATTCATTCTGGAGGACGCTTGTACCTCGGTGGTACAACATTCGCACAACGAGCGTAGAGGGTTGGGATGCTCTATATAATGACCGGATCCATGAATGGAACACCCTAGCTGCATTTTAGTTTTTCATGTTTACATTCTTTATTTGTAATCTTATTTGTACGTTGCTCTTTTAATGAGAACATTAATATTTTATATTGTATTGCTTACTGCATTCTATATGTTGCATGGGTAAGTTGCGCGGATCCACGAACGGTTATATCAAAATTTAAAAACAGCACTGATAATATGTTTAAGTTGGAAGCTAAAAGAACAATCTAAAATGTTACAATTTTACAACATAATGTCCAACATAATGCTCTATAAATAAAATACAATAACCATCAGTAATCCCTCCTCGACGACGACTCCCACTGCGCAAGGGTCTGTTCCAGACTATCAACAACAGCTCTCCCTGTTGCACTCATGCTGTCCTTCTCAAGAGAGAGTTTCTGTACGTCTTGCATTATCTTTCCCATCCACTGCATACAACAAAAAACAGAAGATGAAATACAATAACAACAAATAAAACTTAATTAAAAGACAACGATAAATATAATAAAAGACATACCGCTTCCGTGGCAGTAGGCGGTGGCACATAATCATCATCGCTGTGGTCGAGATCAGTGATCAACCTCGGGTGCGAATACCGGTTGAACCATTCCATGTAGTAATGGTCACACATGGGAGTAACCCCAGAGGGCGGCCGCTGCAACTCCGCAGTCCATAAGCGGGCCACCATCGGAAACTGGTCCCACGTCCCGGTCATGATATCCGGCCATTCCACGACGTACTCCCTCGACGATGCAGGTCGGACCGCCTTCATCGGGCACGCCGGGGGAGGAGGGACAACTTGGACAAATCCAAGCTGGCGAAGACAACGCTGGGGCATGTACGCCTCGACGATGTCACGATACTGAATGAGTCCCGTGTATAGGGTCCTGGGTACCCTAACACTAGGGTTCGGGCCGAAAGGCATCCAGTTCACCTGTACAATAACAACATATAAAATTTAATAACATGAATATAATATGTGCAAATAATAAAATGTAGACTCTATAAATAAACGTTACCTCTAAGGGGGACAGCCTGTCCAGCAATAACCGTATCGATCGGAGGCGGTCAACGGACTTCTTCTCCGAGCGCGGACTCCACGCACAAGCACGCGGCATCCCCTCATCAATAGGAACTGGGTCACGATGTGGTCGCAATGCAGGAAAGTACTCGTATATCCAGGTCTGCAATAGAGTCAGACACCCAGTGATACCTGCCGCGTCAGCCCGACTCGCAAATCCTAGTTGGCGATACAAATACGCCAACGTAGCCGATCCCCAGGAAAACTGGCCTACACTGTCGGGGTCACACGCCTCTACGATGTCGCGTGGCCTGAGCTTGTTTCCGCCGCTCTTATCCGGAAACAAGGTACATCCGAGGAGTAGAAAAACATAAGCACTCAGCTGTGCGTCGGGCGTCCTACGTGCACTCGGGTACAAACACCGCTGCAACACGGATGCGATCTTCACACCTCCGTGTTCCCAAACACCTACCGCCTCGGTGTACAGTGCAGCCCTGTCCACCGCTAACAACTCCGCCAGCGAATCTGCCTGATCCGCATCAGCCACAGCACAAAGTCGTTTACCCTCAACACGAATCCCCAGAATGGCCTCGACGTCATGTAACATGATCGTCATCTCACCGAACGGAAGGTGGAAAGAGTTTGTATCCGGCTGCCATCGCTCAATGAAAGCCGTGATCAGCGTACTGTCAATCTTATCGTGCATGGTGGCAGGAACGTGCTTCACCCCAGTGCCCTCCAGTCGCTCGAACATCTCGCTCTCCGCCGGCCAGGCCTCAGCCCATGTACACAAAAAGCTACAAGTCTTTTCCCGGGTATGACATTTCAACAACCCCGTAACTGAAGGCCTCTCCTGGTCCTCCCAAATACGGGCAGCTATGTGTCCTAGAAAGCTAGGAATCACACTCCCGTCAACAGGCCCACCGGGCACCTCACTCCTAACAACCCAAGAATCATTACCGGCCCTCGACCGTTTCCTGCTTGCCCCAGATACAGTGGACGCAGATGATGTGCCAGATCTACTAACAAACCTACCACCCCTACCCTTACGCACCTCCACCATATGCGTCTCGTACATGTCATCAACCCTCTGACTGAATGGACCGTAATCATCATACGGTCCACTGCCATCGTCCACATCCTCATCCTCATCTGCGCCCTCCTCCTGCTCCTCCTCCTGCTCCTCCTCCTGGTCACCCTCCTCAGCATCATCATCGTCATCGTCATCGTCATCCTCATCCCGACGGTGGATCCGTTCTCTACGAACTGAGGCCGAAATACCACGGGATCTGACATGTCTATGCCCCGACCTCTCCACTGAATAACTTCTACTAAGAAGCTCTATATTCTTCCCCGCACCATGACGACCCAGTGAATTCTACACAAAATTTTAAAATATATAAACATACAAAAATTTATACGATAAATAATCATCATCGCAAATCAAATAAACTAAAAACATACAAATAATTGTAAACAAAATATAAACGTAGAAAAAATACAACGAAATTGAAAAAATTTATAAAAATAAACAACAAAATATAAAAACAATTCAAAATTATATTACAAAAAAAAAAAATTAAAAACAATTTTTTAAAAAAATAAAAAAAAAAAAAAAAATTGGGGGGGGGGGGGCGCCCTGGCTGGACGCCCAGCCGGCGGTGGTGGCGCCAGATGCAGACGCCGCCACCAGCTGGCTGGCGCCTGGGCTGGACGCCACAGCCACGGCTGCGGCGCCTAGAATAAACGCCACAACCGTGGCTGTGGCGTCCAGCCCAGACGCCAGCCAACTGGTGGCGGCGTCTGCATCTGGCGCCACCACCGCCGGCTGGGCGTCCAGCCAGGGCGCCCCACCGCGTTCACGGCGGTTTTTCCCTTTTTTTTTTTTAAAAACAAAATGTACCTTTCCTTCTTGGGACATCCTTCCCTCCGCCGCCGCCGCCAATTCTTTGCCTTGCCGCCTCGACATTGCCGTTATTTGAAATTTTTTTTTAGAGAGGTTGAAAGAAGATGAGCAATGAGAGTGTGAGTGTTTTTTTTTTAAGGTCAAGGGCAATTTTGGCAAACCAAGTGAATTTTGTGGGCTTTATGTAGTAATTTGTGGGCGATGTTTAACAAATCCCATTTTTAAGGGGTACATTGAACACTTGTGTTTAAGGAGCATTGGAGACTATTATTATAATTATTGGATTCAATTAGATTCACCAAAATGAGCCGTGGGCGAGTATTTTGGTCGGACTTGCCCCTGGAGCTGTTGTCAAAAATTGATGAATGCCTTGAGAGTCGATCCGACACCCAGAACTTCTGGGAAGTTTGTAAGGCATGGAAGAGATCAATCACTTTACATGATCTCACCTCAAAGAATATATTATCCCCTATTTTTCCCTACTCTCTAGCAACCTGTGCTGGAAGTTGCTTAGATGACAGTGGTCCTTTCTCACCGGTTCTAGTGGCGAGTTATGTTTTACTCTTTTGATCAACAATTGATCCCAAGCTCCCACCCTGGTTTTTCATTGCTGAAGAGTTGCACCATGGAAAGTTGTTTGTGAGCAGATTGCTTTCACCAATTGCCATTAGATTGTTGCCCGTCGGTTACCCTAGGAATTTGGATTTATCGTACATTCAAGTATGTGAGATGGCTGTGTTCCATAGGTTAAGGTTTGTTGATGCCCCTGGGGATATGTTTGGGAAGAAGGGTCTTCCTGATTTCAACGATAAAAGGGTGGTTTTGTTTGTAAATCCTAATTGTAGTAAAACTTACCCTACTATTGGTGATTGTACTGCCATTGTTTTACATCATAGAGGGGCTTTATGTGCAATAAGGCTTAAAGACAAGCAAGAATTGGATGTGAGTTTCTAAGAAAGGCTTAAAGACAAGCAAGAATTGGATGTGAGTCTCCAGGAAAGGTTTAAAGACAAGCAAGAATTGGATGTGAGTTTCCACTTTCCAGGGAACCTTTCTAGAGGTAAGGAACTTTCATGATGTAATTAATTTTAAAGAAAAGATTTATGCTATTGACCGCAGAGGTAGAGCCTATAAGATGGATTACGACACCTTATCATTGTTGCTCTTCATAGAAAATCCATTGCCTGAGTCTTCAACCAAAATTAGACGTCTAGCTGTATCAACTGATAATCAAGAACTGTATTTAATATATAGATGGTGTAAGCGTGGAACAAGAGATGGAATAGCTTTTACCATTTATAAGTTAAACGAGGGGGAGACAAAATGGGATGAAGTTGAAGGCATTGGCGATGATAAAATACTATTTATAACTTTTGATGGGAGCTTCTTTGCCTCAGCAGAGGATTTTCAAGGATGGAAAGGCAATTGCATTGTCTTTTATTGAGGTTGTTTCACTTCATATAGTTCTCCTTTTCGCGATTATGATGATTCACTTTTTGTTTACGATTTTATGCTTGGTGATTGTCAGAATTTGGCATCTTATCTATCTGGGGTGTTCTGGCCACCTCCGACTTGGCTACCATCAAATGCGTGTATGCCCAAACGGTAAGTTTAGCCTCACCTTTTCATTTTTTGGCATCAAATTGTAACATTTGCCTGGCATAGATTGAGAGATGTGTGCAGTAACTACTGTCTATCAATCCAGTGATTATGCTGATAGTGACATTTCCTTGAGTTAAATTAACACATTCTTTGTTCAGCATTAATTGTATTCCAGTATTTACTACTTCCCATGCAATTTTGTGCCTCCTATTAATATCTTGTAATGAACTTCTAAAAAAAACTCTTTGTACTCATAGCATCTTCCATTTGTCTTCTGCAATCAACCTTAATTTGCTCTCAGGTCCCAAAAAAGGTTTTCTAGAAATTGGATTATTGCCATTTTATGTGACTGAGATCTGTAGGGGTCAATTACTCTAGGTTTGAGAATAATCTGAAAACATATTTTTAAGGTACGAATTGGGCAAAAGTGTTGTTTTAAGGAGTTAATTTTGTGAGACATATCATGCATGTGTCTCTAGATTCTCTCACTCTCTACCCATGTAATAAGGATTTAGGGATTACATTGCTATTATATTATTGTTTGTTAATGCTCACTCAATGATTTGGAAAGTAGAAGACTTGGATTTATTTCTTCTAAAAAATTTTAGATGTGTTGACATTGTAAATTAAAAAGGTGCCATCTCCTTGACAATTTTAAATATTAATCTCCTTTGTCACCTCTAGGCTGACTGCACTACATCATATAGCAATTAGGATCTACTTTGGGGTAAAACTTTGCCTTATGCATTATGGTGTGGACAAGATTGATAATTTGGTCCATGTGAAATAGATTGTAAGTTGAATTTTTGGAGTATATTTGAGTACAGTGAAACCAAGAGGATTGTCATTCAATAAATGGTATTGTAGATTGGATTTTGTGATAAATTGTGCATCTGTTGTTTAAAGAACATGAGGCATGCTAGAATCATATAATTGCTCATCTGCTCTTAGAATATATGCTGTGATGTTTGCATATTCCAAGTATTTAATTATTTTTGTTCGAGAACCTTGCTTGGCATGCCATTTGTTATTGAAATGTGTATAAATATTATGAACTTGAAACATATAGCTTTATAAGTGTTGACGTATCAAAGTGGATGTAGCAAATAGTAGGACTAGTCATATATATAAGCATTGCTCTATTGCTGAAGACAAGGGGGTTGAAATTAATGTATTTATTGTTGTCTAGATCCCAAACTTTAAATGTCTCATTCTCTCAAAATCTCCTTGCTTTTTCTCGCATTATCTTCACTTTAAATCAAAAAATATGGTCCCCTTTTTCTCGCTATTATTTCTTATATTTCACACACTTTCTCCATGTTCCACCAAGAAAAACAAGTAAGCGATTAGGTACATTTTGTTATGTAGAATGCCTTTCACCATACAAGGGGTAGTGTTTTGATTGTTGAGTTACATATTTAATTTTGTTTGTGCTTGTGAAGGGCAACAAAGGACGATGAAGAGACTCAATCTGATGCTGACACCCTTGACAGTCAAGATGGTGAATCCCCTACTCCAATTGAGCTTGACCCTGTGTTTATGGAACAAATTTTTGAGGCACCCTCTACCTTTGCAACACGAGGAAGCATCTCACGAGGTGTGACACCTCTATTCTCTCTAAATCTGCATGGACTTGCAGAAAAAAAACATTAAAATACCTTTAACATCTGCAGCACGAGAAAGACTAACAAGAATGGAGATACTGTTGTCAGTGATGTCTGAACTTGAAGTTGCTGAACCAATCACTGAGATGTATTTTACATCTACAACCTGCGCGAGAGTGAGGAGAACGTCTGCCTTGAATGAATTGGAGCATGCAGCTGAAGAAGGTAAAGTTTTTCCAATGAAGACCTTTTCATTATTATTGAAAATTAAGCTTCGTGAACTGTTTTTGTTGATCAGTGCCCCATCTGAAAACTTTGACAAGGGAAACCAAATGTAGACACCATGTGTCAAGGAATTATATAATCTCTCAGGTACTAAATCAAATTGCACTTGTCTATGCTTTTAAACTTCTTATGGCTAATAGGACTTTTGTGCCCACTGTGTTCTTTTCAGCAGAGCAACAAAAGTGATAATTCAATTGTCAAATTCAAAGGACTTGATGTAAGGTCTAACTTACTCAAGACGTTGCAAAATATATAGTCTAAGCATGGAAACTTGATAGAAAATAGCATCATCCGCAATGGCGACATGGTTTCTAGGGCATTAGAGTCGTTGGCAACAGCGGTTCTTATTCTAGAAGAAACCTCAGTTCGATCCTTGAGTGATTCTCAAGCTGATTACTTGAACACTACATTGTCTGACCTGCAATGTCTGCATTTTAAAGTAGGCTGGTTAGTTCCTTACGTGGAAAAGGCTGTACAACTGCACAAAAGCAAGCCATTGATGGATTCCCGTGATGAGTACTCAGTCGCCAAGCAAAAGCTGTAAAACGGATATTAAAGCTTAATGAAGAACTAGCTGAACTAAAAAACCTGGAGAAAGAATTGGAGAAAGATGTGGCCAATGTGTCAAGATCGATTCCTTATTCTGGAAATGTAGATATGGACCAGCCTGTAGGATGGGGGTTTTCTTGAATGAAGTTTATTGATCTGCAGCTCTTAGCTTTGAATGGATGTTTAAGTAGCATTTTGGAGTTTGGACTTTGAAGTGTGGCAATAGTTTGCCTAAAGCACCTTTTTGATGTGTATGACAGCGTAAGTGAGTACGCCATGAAGAGATAAGGTTTCATGAATGAATCGAATATGACCTCTGTTGGTTTATTGTTTGATATTTAAGTAAATTTAGTTTAAATAGATGAATATAAATTTTACAATTTAACACAAGTCAATTTGAAAGAAAATACATGTCTTAATTGCTGTTTTCTTAAGGACCATATCTTAGGGAGTATTTTTTTTCTTTACTTTTCTGTTTTCTGACTCGGGGCATGGGCTTGCTTGTGCAGTTAGTGAAGACAAAGTCAGTTTCCTTCAGTCCCTAATTTTTTAGGATGTACAACTATTAAAGGTGATAGCACCTGCTAAACCAGCATTCATCGTTGATCTATTGAGGAAGTGCCGGTTCAACATGTTAAGATTGAAAGTTAAGATCAGAGTGTTCTATTATAAATTTATAATAATGATGAACGGATGGTGGAGGCTATAAGGTTTATCTAGGGCTGAATTTAACCTGTATTCAAATGAGCAGCTAACGATTTGCTGGAATTATTGAATATGATTGATTAGGATCAATCAGCTTGGCAATAACGCAAACAATAACAACCACAAAGCCTTGACAATAACTCACAATGCTTAAATTTTAGCGTAAATAAATGATAACGGTGTGCTACCAGTGTACCAGTAGTTCAGCATGTACTGGGATTTTAGTATACTAGTATATGCCTTAAATAACGTACCTGCTAGATTAGTAGATTGTGAATGCATAAATTGAAGGTGGAATTAGTATGACCATAATCCCTTGGGGTATTTCATAAGTATAAATGGTTTTGTTGATCAATTTGGTGGGATTTTCAGAAGGGGAGTGATATAACACACTAGTATTTCTGTTTTACATAAGCTAGAATATGATAAGGATGTTTGTGGCATGCCCTCACAAGGTAATGACCGACGTGGTTGTGCAGATTTGTGTGGATCCATATCTTCGAGTTGCCTGCGACTAATACGTTTCGAGGTAGTGAGGGTCTTTCCATTCTGGAAGGCTCCCTCTAATCTGTAATCATTGTAATGCTCGTGTGCCCTAGTTGTTCAATTCATTGTTAAGGCAAAAAATTAAAAAATAAAAAATAAAAAATAAAAAATTAAAAACAATAAATTAAAAAAATATAAATAAATAAAAATCAGTGGGTTCAATGAACCAACTTGAATTCACTGTGGTGGGTAGTGGCTACTGCCAATGGAAAAAGATATGGCCTAATGGCCTATGACCTATATTTTCAGAAAATCCTTTCAACTTTGATTTACACATTTAGTGAGACACAATTTTGATTAGTTATTACTAAAAATCATTAATAAAAAAATATATACAAGTAGACATTATGATTTGCTTGTGGAGTGCATCTTAGCGCATAGCTTCTATGTGGTTTGGAGATACATAAGAGGGTAAAATAGTCATTTGACATTCATAAAAGTTTTTTTTTGTTTTTTTTTCTTTAGTTATAGTGTACTTTTTGTGTATTATTATGCATGTATATTATACCATTAGATTATAAGTTGTCTTAGTAATACTATTTATATATATCTCACTATGGTATAATATTTGATTTACAATTTACATACTTATTTGTATCTTTAGAAAAATATTTATACCAACACAGCATTTAATGATACTATTTACCTATTTGATGATACTTTATACTCATGTTAATATTTACAACTTAACTATCCTATTTGTTTCCTTACCTATTTGATGGTACTTTATACTCATATTAATATTTACAACTTAACTATCCTATTTGCTTCAAAACAATTATGTGCTATATGACAATACTTCTCCTGATTTGTGATTATTTCAACAACATATGATAAATAACATAATAACGATTGCGCCATCTGTATTTAAATAAGTAAAACGTTTTGACTTTTTACATTATTCATCTAGTTTACTTTGACTAGTGTTTGTGATTTATACATAATAATGAATATAGTTTTGTGGGTATTTGTTCAAATCGTCTCAAACTCTCAATAATGAATAGTTTATTACGTAATATTCAATTGTTATAATATTAAATTATTGATAATTAAATTTTTTGCTTTGGCATACGTGCACAAGAGAAATGTTTCAATTATTTATATACGGAAGGAGTACTTATTACTTTGTACTTACTCCGTTACAAATAATAAGATGACATGTTTCTTTTACTAAAAAAATAAGTTTATAAATAGTGTCAAGGAGTTAAAATGTACTATCAAAAAAAAAAAAAAAAAGAGTTAAAATGTTTCATTTAATTTAAAACAAAGGAATTATATCTTTACCTTTTAAAAAGTAATTTTAGAGGGTATGATCATTTATCTAGATGATATCATCTGTTTACTAGATAATGTGATTAAATGTCTGTATGATAGTATCTTACCAAATGCTATTAAGTTATACTGGAGTATTGTATTATATAATTTTGACACGAACATGGCAATTCCTCATATTTTTGGGATGTTGAGTTTTAGCTAAATTTAAAAGTTAAGCTAGCTACTCAGCTTAATGGGGGAACAAATATGACGTGCAAAATATAAGCTAGCTTAAATAGATAATACACTAAAGGACTGTTTGGTTGGAGACATTCATTAAAGGATAAGGGAATCAACTGCCCTTATTCCCATTACTGTTGTTTGTTAGGCTTTTTTTTCCTATTCCCTCTACCCTCTCTATACCCCAAAGTCTTTCCAATTAATTCCCTACCCCCTAGGTAACTATATCACCATTCCTTAGCCACCACCATACCCCCATTAGTACACCACCGAGAAACCACCCACCCCACTGCCCCTCCTCGTCCTCCCTTAACCTATAAAAAACCCCATTTCCTTCCCCCTAACCACTCCTCCTCCCCCTTGAAAAACCCCTCCTTGATTGCTAGAAACCCTCAACCGCCCTCCCCACACCCTCGAAACCTTAGAGGCTGGGAGTTTTGAGGGTATGAGGTTTTTTTTTTTCTTTTTTTTTTCTTTTGGGGAAGAGGATATGGTTTGTGGGGAGGGGGAGGGGCAACAGAGGGAAAGAGAAATGAAGTGATAGTGGTTTTGTGGTGCATGGACTGGTGGTTGTATGGTGTTGGTTTATTTTTATTTTAATTTAGTTTAAAGTTGTTTCCTTTTCTTGTTTAAAACAAATTAAACAACATTGTAAATCAAAAAAAATTGCATTCTTCTCTTCTTCTTTCCCTTTCTTTAAGTCATTCCCTTACGAAGTTTGCGTACTATAGTACTACATAAAAAATAATACGAAGTACAAAAGTTCTTCTTAGAATAATCGAAAATGAAACTTAGGAAGTTAATTTTAAAAAGGCGCGCAGAAGAAATTAATTTCTGCAAAATGAACATAATATGACACTACAACTACATTAATGACTCCAATCCCATGATTTAGCACCGTGAATCCACCTTAAAGCCCAAATAGCCTTCTTCTTAACACAGGGGTTTGTTTTACTTGCACGAAAAAAAAATGATTTTTAAGGTTATAATATTTTAAGGAAGTTTTTTTTAAAAAACTAGTACATTTCAGAACAAATGTTTTCAGTGGGGATTTGGAAGCCATAGAATGCTCGAGCTTCAGCCTGAACCTCTTTCAAGAATCTTTCGGGGCGATTCTCAAGCACAATTTTGTTAGATTCAGCAAAGAATGAGGATGTTTGTGATGAAATGTTGTTTGTTGGCAAAAGCCATTGTTGAAGGGAGATGGTGAAGAAAAGAGGGGAGACAACTGAAGGAGGAAAGAGAAAAAGCCATAGAGTTGTACGAGTGATGAATTTTTGTTCTCTTTTAATTTCTATATTTTGGGTTTGTCTCACAAAGTTATTAGTGATGCAATCTTAACCCAATAGTATATTCCCTTTGTGTTTTTAAGTGCCCTAGTTTGACCGGTGTATATGCCAACAATTAATTTTGACCAATATTATCTTTGATTAGCAATAATTTTAAATTATACAAGTACAAAAATGATGTTTGAAAACTATAGATTGAGACGATTCCAACAAGTACTAGCTTATACGTACTTATATGACTATTTGATCTTATGTACTTCGTGTATGGCATAAACATACGCCAAAGTGGTGTACGTGAATAATGCATTGGAGCATCACAAAGGCGAGGGTGAGAATCGATCCCATGATTTCTTGAAACCGAGAGAGAAGCTCTAACCACTTGAACTATCCCTCACTCTCATGTGATTAATTGAATTTGTTAAAATATTGCTTATGTAATTAGGGAAAAAAATAAAAAGGAAGAAAAAAAAAATCCAAACCTAACACGTGTAAAGAGGGTCATAAGTCCTCAAATGGGCCGCGCCATATAGTAATATACTGTACACCGGCCTTTATTAAAAATTTGTCGAAAAAAAAAGTGAGAATAACTATATAATTTATGTAAAGGATGTCAGAGAAAGAAAATAATAAATAATATGAGCGGAGTACGAGTGGATGACCATGTAACGAGAGAGATAAAATTAAATAGTGAATAATATTTTCATTTGAAGAAGTGTTGCAATCAAACAATCTATCGTTTCAAAAAAAAAAAAAATTCTATTGTTCCATTATTATTGTCAAATCAAATCACTATTATGGTTATATGACATCATTTTATGTATATGATATCATTTATATAACATCATTATACTTTTATGACATCACTATTGTCAAATCACACCATGTATTAGCTAAAAAAATATGAACTACCCATACTACCCCTAAAAGTGATCTACCTCACTTTTAGGGGGAGGGGAGGAGGATTGAAAATTTGGTGTTCAACTTTTGAACTACCCATACTACACCTAAAAGCTAAAAAAATGATATTTCATAATCATGTGCGTTTCCAAAATTTTATGTAATTGTCCTATAATAAATAACAAAGCAAAAAATCATTTACATAAATATGGTAATCAATTAACATTCAAGTTTTCACAAAATAATCAATATCTTTGTCTCAACTTTGGATTTTAATCTCTTTAATTTTTTTTTAATTTTTTTTATCATATCAATGACTATATATATATGGGATCATGTGAGAACGCATCCTTTATGTGAGAACCCCAACTTATGTGAGAACAAATCTAGACCATTGAATTGAGGTCATCTGATGGCTGTTATTCAATCCGCCTCATTAAGGGTAAATGTGTAATTTCACTGCTTGGCTGACTACCCCCAATCTTCTAAAGTTTTCATTTTCACTTTTT